TTAACTTCAAATTCTAAGTTCAAGTTCAAGCTCAAGTTCATGTTCAAATTCTAAGTTCAACTTCAATAATAATTCAAACTAGTCCTAAATTCAAACTAGTCTTAAAATCACAAATTCAAACTAGTCCTAAAATCCCAATAGACATAATTGATATAGTTAAACCAATAGACATAATTATTTAAGGAAGTGGGAATTACATTCAGATTTATGCTCACATTTTATAATAATCTAATACAATCAAATAAATCAGAAATTGGTACGAAATATATATAGCCGAAGGATCAATTTAAAGCATTAATTAGGACATAATTTACATTGGATTCAATAAGGTAAAAAGAATGTTAGGAGCAGATTGAAAATAACGGGTTGGTTCTCAATCAAGACTGAACTTGATAAACAATCACTGATACAGACAGTCAAGAATTCACAAATTATTCCAAACCTCAAGATGAACACCAACATAGGCGAATATTTCAACATAAACAAACACCATAGCATGCTAGATAATTGATTATAAACTAAGGGTCACACACACATAATTTCCAAGAACAGGCAGCCCACACATATAGTAAGAATTCGAAATCTAAAACGAAAAGGTGCAACTATCTCACATTTTACAATATTCCCAGTGACATGCTTAAAATTAAAGTAAAGGAATTTGTACCTGGGATGGATCAGTTAAGATCCGTCTTAAGCAATCCAAATTATGCAAAGTGATTGATGTTTTCGCCGGAGAAATAGGCGACTGGTGGCACTAGAGCTGCTGGCGTTCGCTGGTGTTGTTGTTGCTCGCCGGCGCTGGAGCTACGCAGTGGCTCGCTGGCCAGAGTTGCTGGTCACGCTGGCACTGCTGCTTCGCCGTGGAATCTCTGGTGGATGCTCGCTGATCGAAGGTCACCTGCCGGAGTTGCTGCCTGCGCTAGCTCGCCTGGCTGCTAGTTGTTGTTGCTCGCCGGTTAGAGCTGCTGGTTGTCGTCGACGAAGGAGAAGAGAAAAAGAGGCGACGGGAAGGGGAGGAGAAGAGAGGACGACGTCGGGGCTGCTGGTCACAGTTGCTGCTTCTCGCCGAAAATGGACGGAGAATGAGAGAGAGAAGGAGAAGAGAAAAAGAGGCGACGGGAAGGGGAGGAGAAGAGAGGACGACG